TATATGTAACTATCCAAAAAAAAATCATGAATAGACGGTGTGAGGGCCGTCAAAAGTAATAAACTGAATGGAGAAATTATTCCATACGAATTAACTACGCAATTCTGCGTGCGGACTTCCAGTAATATGTCGTCACATGGTGGTTATTGTGAGGTTATTGAAGTAAAACCGCGGAGGTTATGGGGGAGTTATTGGGGGGTTATTGCTAGGGTTAATGCAGGGGATTATTGAAATGGAACCAGAGAGATTATTGGGTGGTTATTAGAATGGAACAGTGGAGATTATCGAGGGTTATTGGGGGGTTGTTGCGGGGTTGTTGCGGCGTTATTGGAGTTAATGCCCTAATAACCCCTTAATAACCCTCCCAAATAACCTTCGAGGTTTCACTTTAATTTTTTTTTAGGTGGGCCCGATATAACACGCATTGCGGGATATTACTGTAGTCCGCACGTAGAGCTGCGTACGTACTCTGTATGCAATAATTTCAGAACTAACTAACCATTTGCCAAGTTTCCCATATAAATTTTATTTCAGAAAAAAAAAAATGATATAAATATAATGTGACTACATCAAGTTAAAATGAAACGTATAATTTTTACCATTCACTATTAAAGATATCAGAGGATGATGTATAATATCATATCATATCATTTACAAAAAAAACTTTATATGATAAAGGAAAAACATAATTTTTTCATAAATTGCTAATAATGATTTAAATAATTGCATAAGCGCTTAAAAACTGTAGGTATAGATAACAGATTTATTGACTTGAGCACAACACAGCATAAATTTAATACCATAAAAAAACGAAGCAAAAATAAAAAATCTATCCATACCTGAATATCTAGAAACAGCTGCATGCAGATTTTCTCCGAGTTTGATATGTTGTTGTCGAGGGCATCCGAACTCGCTCCGGCTCTCCTTTGTGCGCCTTGACGTAATCTCAGTAGCGAAGACTCGGTTTTCCTTGCCTGTCAAAAACATTTCAGTATGCGCAGATATAATGTTTTTTTTCATAGGTATTATTAGGAACAAAATCCTGCTTGCTTACCAAATTGACAACATCTGCTGCCATTTCATAATATCGGCCTGTAATTCGTTCAGCGATACAGTAGAGCAGTTCATTCAACAGTTCCTTGGTTAAAAATACAACGCTATCACCATCAAGAAAAGCCTGCATAACCAAAAATATAATTTTTTACAGTTTCTTGGTCAAATATTCATCAATATGATCACTGAAGTCACTGGCACTCCTTGTAACTATCATGTAAATCAATGTTTATTTCTAAGTCTATATTTATGTGTCATGCCGAATTTCTTAGTGATATGAAACTATGTTGGCTGCGTGTATTAAAACTAAATATGTGATATTATTGATTATGAAATGTTTGCTCCTAAATTCTCCTCCTTCCTTCAAGCAATCTCTTCCTCTCATTTGAATAATTACTCTATTCTAGGCCTTTTTCTCTCCATCTCTAAACCTCTTCGCCAAACTTTACTCAATTTTGATGACAGCAAGATGGTTTGGGGTGATCAAGAGAAGGGTTAGGTAAACTGTAGAACTCGAAAGAAGGGTCAGAGGATGATAGCAGCTTCGAAGACTGTACAGCAAGCTGGAACAATAAAAATACAGGTCGGCTACAAAATCAGTGGCCTAATATGTCTTTGAAAGTTCAAGAGAGATCATGACCTCAATTCAATCAGGCTACAAGTGCACCACCCGAGAAAGATCTAAGGTTACAAAACTCTAATAATAAAGAACTAAAGAAAACACTCCAATAAGAAAGAACTAAAGAAAACAATCTCTATTGCATAAATCAATACCCAAATGTCCCAATACCAAAAATTATCAACATATTTATACTTCTCAAAGCAAACTAACCCTAATAATAATTTAAATAAGGTAAATAAATCCCCCTACGCGGCCTGACCAACTCATGTGGTTTAGAATAGCTTGAATCGATCCCTCCTGAACCAATTCATTTATCTGAGGTTTGCCTAGAAGCGGGAACGGAAGCGAGAACAAAAACAAGAGGGACATCCTCATCATTTTCTCCGGGTAGGAGATGATTCATTTCTTCATTGGAATCTCCTGGATCCTCATAATACTACAACATATTAGCAATTTTGATACAACCAAAATGTTATGAAGCACCGACAATGCATGCAAGTATACGGGCTGACCAAATAGTATACAAAATCGAGTCTGTGTATCGATCCCACGAGTAACGAGAGAACTCCCAAAGTTCAGAAAAGCTCTATTTTACCGGCTTTGAGACTTGCCTAAAGGTTCAAAATTTAGTGATTTAAAATTTATAATCCTCATTTTTGTAAAAAAAAAAAACCTACAACTAATTTTGAGGTTGAATAAGTGGTAGAAAACCTCCCTTAAATTTGTCATATTCAAACAAGATCTATCCGATTCTAATAAAGTTAATTATTATGAACAAAAGTTTTTTTAACCCCTCCCGATGGTCATAAAAAAATTGGGATTTTATATTACAACTAGTGTCACAATCCAACCTAGAACTTGGAATTAACCAAGGCGGGTACAGACGGTCGGACGGTGGTAATTAAGTTTTCTATATTCATCTTCTATAACTAATATATAATAAATGAAATAACCACCAAAGAAAATAAATTAAAACTTTATCATTAAATTTACCTCATTACAAGTTTTCTGCATCTTCTATAAACAATTTACCTTATATTGTTTATCTTTTAATCAATTAATTACGCTTAAAAAATTTGTTTAAAACAGCAGTGAGCTAACTAAAGTCAGTGAATACTCACACTTCTAAAATACATTAATACAAAGAAGAAAAAACAAAATGCATGTTAGTTAAGTTTTTAATAAATTAGTAGAAAATATTTGATAGTTTATGAATATAATCACTTACGATATTTCATGCTAATCAATGTGTTTTACTATTTCAATCGAAATATATATATATATACCGTATAAAACTGTATCAATTAAGTTACTTTAATATCAATATTATTTTCTATTTACGTGCACGGGTACCTTAGCGTTCCCCTAGTAGAACCATAAATGAGTGACTCCATAGTCAAATATGGACATACCAGCATATAATTATTTCATTCTCATTTGCATTGAAGTCAATATACTTCTATAAAATTAAATATCGATGATAATTTAAAAAAAAATGGTAACTACATATCATTCCTACAATATGAACAAAATTCAATAGAATCATAAATCAAGAGTTTGAAATGGTTTCAATATAGTTAGTGACAGCAAGAGTAAATGTAAATGGTTTATAAAAAAACAAAAATATTATTATAGCATAAGAATATATGTACTCATCTTAAAATCGTTTGACTTATCTTAAATCTCCAATTACGCTTAATCTTATCTCCAATAGTTAACTACCTAATAAATAAAACATTATAAGCATACCATTAACCATGTTTAATCAATCTTTAATTAATTATGTAATTTTAATTGTTCATCAGAAACTTTTATTTTAAGTATCCAGGTTACTTTAATTTGATCATCAAACATACAACTTACTCAACATCTACACTTTCTATTTTTATTCAATATACAATTAATGTCCCCTCTAATTTAAATAAATAAATGTAAAATTTATTTTTTATATATTGATTTAGTCTTTTATACTATTATTATTATTATAAATTATGTTATGACATATATAAATATTTAATAAATTATATTATTTTAATTAATATTTCAATACTTGTTATAAATGTAATCATTACATTTAATATTAAATATAATTAATCTATAAAAAATTCTTTTGCAGAAATAAAACCCTAGTATTTCTTGTTGTCGTCAATTTTTCCTCAATCCAAAAATGATATTTTTAAAGCATGAATCAAATGCACTTAAATTTATATATATAACAATTTAATTAAAATACTAAAAACTCACCCTTACCCCTTAATATATTAGCTTGAAAGGCATACTCTCGTTCGAGCTTTTATACCTTATCCAAGGCTCGGTCAAGCGTCTATAAGCACGCTCAGAGCTTTTCTTCCTCTGTTAGGGCTCTAGCCTTCCTCTTTTCTTCACACCGGAGTCGCTCCGTGATTCTCCCTTCGACCGCAAACAACAATTAACACAGGCGAGCCGCTCCTTCCTCCTATGGCTTCTATGGCAAGTTTTGTCACCCTCGTCTCTCTCGCTTGTTTAATCTTACCTCTGCCTCCATTCACACCACTTTATAGGACGAAAATAACTTCCAAGTTCTCAACTATTCGCTTCAACCCCCTCTTTTCAACCCACTCTCTTCAACACCCTCTTTTCGACTCTCTCGATTAATTTAAATGAGGTGTCGGTATCTTCCCCACAAAAATTTTATCCACGAAATTTAAAAAAAAACATATCGCAAGTCATCTTTTATTAAGCAGGTTAACATTAATTATCCATAAATTTCAAGATAAAAATTATGGGTCATTCATTAAGATGAAAAGTGATCGATGTAAAGACATGGTACAAGGCGGTTCAATAATTTGGGTGTATCTCTGTGTTTGACTGGATATAATTATTAATTTCAGCTAACTTAAATTTTTTAATTATTATTATTATTAAAATTTTCTTATAATTACCCTATTAGCTCTTTCTTCAATACTACATTAATTAATCATAAACATTGTCTCTAATACGACTTTTGTCACGACCCGACTCAGAACTTGAAATTAAACAAGGCGAGTACAGACGGTCGGACGGTGGGAAATAAGTTTTCTATATATTTTTTATAACTAATATTTAACAAATAAAAGAGCCGCTAAAAAAATTAAAATGAAAGCAGTACAATTAAATTTACCTTATTACAGTTTGTCCAGATTTTCTATCAATATTTTCTCATATGTACTTATCTTTTAATCAATTAATTACACATAAAAAGTTAGTTTAAAATAATAGTGAGCTAACCAAAATCAGTCAATACCCACACTTCTAAACTACAGTAATACAAATAACAAGAAAATAATATGCATGCTAGTTAAACTTTTAATAAATCAATAAAATATTTGATAATTTATGAATATGATCACTAATAATATTTCATGTTGATCAATATGTTTTACTACTTCAATAGCATATTTATTTCATTTTATGTATGTACAACATTCACAAATGCACTGCATCCAAAATTCTACTAGTTAAAGTATTTCATTATCAATATCATTTTCTATTTATGTGCATGAATACCTTAGCGTTCCATCGCTAATACTATAAAGGGGTGACTACATCATAGTCAAACATGCACATGCAAGTATACTATGAAAATCACTATTTAATAATTGATATTTCATTCTCATTTGCATAACAGTTAATATATATTTATATAACATTCAATACATATAATAATTTAAAAAATAAATGCAAGTACACATCATTTCTATAATATGAACACAAATTCAATATAATCATAAATCGTGAGTTTGCATTGATTTCAATATAGCTAGTGACAGTAATAGTAAATGCATTTTGTCGAGAAGCCAAAATACTACTACAGTATAAGAACATGAACACTCACCTCAAAACTGTATGAATTGCCTTAAACCACGCTTAATCTTGTCTCCAATAATTAGCAAAATAATTAAAAAAATTTAAGCATGTCATTAATTAGGTTTAATCAAACTTTTAATTAATTATGTTATTTTAATTGTTGATTGGAAACTTTTATTTTATGTATTCATATTACTTTAATTTGACTATCAAAACTACAACTTAAAATATATGATTTGTATTTTTATTCAATATTCAATTAAAGTCCCCTCTAATTTAAATAAATAAATGTAAAATTTATTTTTATATATTTCAATTAAATCTTTTATACTATTATTATTATTATAAATTATGTTATTATATATACAAATTTAATAAATTATTTTATTTTAATTAAGATTTCAATACTTAAACTTTAAATTTAATCATTGCAATTAATATTAAATATTACTAATTTATACAAAATACTTTTTTTGGAAAAAACATTCTAACATTTCTTGTTGTCGTCAACCTTTCCTCGATCTAAAAATGATATTTTTATAGCCTGAATCAAATGCAATTAAATTTTACATTTAAATAACTTAAATTTACATATATAATAATTAATTAAAATATTAAAAACTCACCCATACCCCTTAATATATCAGCTCAAAAGCCCTACTGTCGTTCAAGCATCT